CCTTCTTCAGTCATAGGAAGTCTTTGATGTTCTGAGATTCCAAGAAATGAAAGAAGCTAAAAAGATGGCAGATGTCAGTGAAAATGTAAATAGGGTCAGCACTCCAGGATTTGGCCAGAGTCACTCAACTGGTTTAACAGGCTCTGTTGAGGAATCTTAAGGTAATAGTCTAAGGGGGGGGATGGGAAATGTTCCTCGCCAGTCCTACAGGAGGCACAATATACAACAATCACACAGAAAACATGATCATGCTTTACAGCCAACCCACTGCCGGTGCCCCTCACCCCCCTCACTCCTGCCAGGGTGGCCCAAGCTCTGGGGTGTAACAGCCACAAATAACAGTGCATGGGGAGAGCAGAGATGTACCCAGCTCTGGGGTGTAACAGCTCAATATAACAGTGTACGGGGAGGGCTGAGATACACCCCAGGGCCGGGTGCAACAGCCACATACAACAGTTTTCACAGCCCGCACTATACACTGTTATATGTGACCATTACAACACAGAGCTGGGTGCATCGCAGGACCCAAGCCACTCCAAGAGTGTGCAACTCTCCTCTCCCTGCAGTGGCCTGGGGGTTGTGGCATGAGCAAATGGGGAGCTGGTGGTTGACACAGGTGGCACCCCCTGTCCCCCTAGCCCTGCCTATGCCCCTCACTCTGAACCTGAAGCCCCCTGCCCCACCAGCCCTGCCAGTGCTCCTCATTCCTAGCTAATCTGCGGCCCCCCAGCCCAGCTGGTGCCCCCTCAGTCCTGACCTGCAGCCCCCTGCCCTTCCTGCCTCCTCCCTGCCAAACCCTGCCAGTGCACCTCACTCCTGACCCGCAACACCCTGCACTCCCAGAAAGAGGCAGCAGTATGACTGCCAGGCAGAGCAATGGCAAGCAGAGGATGGTCAAAGCTATGGCTTGGGCTCTGAGCAGCTGTAGCAGGTGGCAGGCAGGCTGCAAACAGCTGCACAGGGCACTAGAGCTCTGGCACTAGCTCCATGCTGGTGGCAACTGCACACAGACCTTGGGGTGAACGATGGGGAAGGGGCTAGGGCAATGCAACCCCAGCCCCTCCCCTGCCACCCACCCAGAGGCACACATGCAGCCACCAGCAGCAGTAAGGATCGGGCCCTTTTTGTGGCTCCCCTGTGATCTGCCCCTAGCATGCCAAGTCAAGGTATGGGTCAGGGGTGAGGAGTTTTTGGCACTCCGTCCAAAAATGCTGCCAATGCCTGACACAGCAGGTAAATCTTTCATACTATAGGTTGCAATGGATATTAATCAGGGATCTTGCCAAATCAAATTAATTTTTTCAAAGTTAAAAAACAATTCAACATCTAATGACATTTCCCCTTCTCTTCACTGACATATTTTTGGAGCAAAATAATGTACTTAGGCCTCGACCAAAAGCATTTCAGCTTGAAGAAGGGAAATATGCCACGAGGCAAAATTTATTCACAGTAAAGCCATGGGGCATTACGGTTGTCACCCACGCACAAAAATATTTTTAAAGACATAAATACAACGTTCAAGTTTCAGTTAGCACCAGCCCAGCATGGAAGGGAAAAAAAAGACACCCCACCCTCCTTCAGTTTCAGTCACATGGATTCACACCTGTTTCTATACCATTATGATTATCTGGAAACAGAAGGAAGTGATTAGCACCCTAATATTGGGGCTCTTGATTTTTATTACTATTATAGCTACAGTATGTAGCATGTCAGAAATTATGAGACTGACTGGAAAAAATATACTATAGTGTTAATGACAAGAGAGAGAAAACCTGAATATGGAGATGCACTATAACTGAACTCCATACACAAACTCAGAATCACAGGAAAGCAGGGCTGGAAGGGACCTCCGGAGGTCATCTAGTCCAACCTGTTGCCTAAAGCAGGATCATCCCTATCCAAACCACCCCCTATAAATCCTTGTCTAACTTGTTACTAAAACTGTGCAATCAACCCTATCACAACCTAAACTGAAGGGCCCTACCAAATTCATGGTGGAAGTAGGCTGTGAGGAAGCTCCTTTAATCTTGCAGATTCCCTTGTGCCCGCCCCCCCGGCCCATTTGCTGCTTGGCAGCCCTTTTGCTTGCTGTGGATTGGCTGGGAGGCAAAAATGGTGCCATGATGGGAGGAGGGGGGCACATAGGGGAACCTACAACATTACAGGAGCTGCTATGCAGCTCACTTCTGAGGTGAATTCAGTAGGGCCCTACTAATCTGCCCCAGGTAAAGCAGAGGAACAGCAGGCCATGTCCTGCTGCTGCAAGAGATTGTTAAAATACACTTGAGAGATCTGACTCCACATTATAGAAGGCAGCCAAAACCCACACACTCCACATCACCTTGACCACGAGAAAAATTCTTTCCTGACCCCAGATGTTGCCATTGGTCTGGCCCTGAACAGAGGGGCAAGACCCTCTAGCCAGGATCTTCTGGGTTTTCATCCTAGCAGGAGCACTTGCACACCCCAGTCAAAATCCCCAGCTTGGCTGCAGCCAACATCCAATGCTTCTGAGGAAGAAAATAAAAAAACCCTCACACCTGACATGCAGCAAGAGGAGAAAAAATACCTTCTCAATCCCAGGTGGCAACAAGCAAAGGCCAGAAGCATGAGAAATTACCCATAGTAGAGTACAGACATAGCTTGTCCTAGACTCAGCCCTGACCAATGCTTGTCCAACCTCTTCTTGAACACCACCAATAATCGAGATTCCATAACTTCTCTGGGCAGTCTGTTCCACTGCCTTGCTGTTCTAACAGTGAAGTTTTTCCTGATATCTAACCTAAACTTACTTTGCTGCAACTTCAAGCCACTGGCCCACATCCTGTTTTCTGCAGCTGAACATGTCCATTTCAGTCAACCTCTCCTTGTATGGCTTACCTTTAAAGATCTTTATCTTTTGTCACCTGCTTCTGGACCCTCTCTAATTTCACTACATCCTTGTTAAGATGTGGAGCCCAAAACTGCACACAATACTCTAGATGAGGCCCAACCAGTGCTGAGTAGAGGCACTACCACCTCCTGTGTTTTGTACCTAATGCTCCTATTACACTTCAAAGCTGCATTGCATTTTGTGGCAGCTGCTTCACACTACAAACTCATGCTGAGTCTGTGATCCACCAAGACTCCTACATCCTTCTCCATAGCACTGCCAGCCATGTTGTCTTTGTGTTTTTTTGATTATTCTTCTCAAGGTGTAACTTCTTGCAGTTGCCAGCATTGAACTGTTAGCTCCTTCCCAGTTTTTCAATTTGTCAAGATCCTTCTGAACTGCACTCCTGTCCTCCATTGTGTTTGCAATGCTTTCCAGTTTTACATCATCTGCAAATTTGCTCAAGCAGCTCTCTATTCCAGCATCCAAATCATTAATGAACTCCAAAAACACACAAGTGCATTGTAAAGCTACTAAGCAAAACTTTTAATATATAAAAAGCATACACAATGCATTAAAATATATATCTTAAAAGAGAACAAATGTTTCAAAAATCAAAGGATCAAAAACTGGGAAATGATAAAATTAAGTCTGCCCACACAGAAAATTTCAGCCCAAATATTTAAAGCTTGGCAAACTTATAAACAACTGAAAGTAAAATCTTTCCATGGAAAATACTAGCATAACTACTGACTTACCAATGTGCATACTCACTCTTCCCTCACCCCCAGTTTAATTTGTTAATAGCCAGCTTAAACAGACACTAAAATTCCGCTATGAAAATTTGCCTATTCTGGATACGAGTTTTGTTTAGAAGTACTGTTCCTGAAAAATCAGATTTTTAGTTTGTTTAGCCCCATTTTGTACTGCATAAAATCAGTTTGCCTTGTATAATAAGCTAATCCTATTTGTGTGGGGGTCTCTCCTAGCAATCAAAGCGAAGAGAGGTGGGTTTTTTGTTGCTGTTGTTGTTGGGTTTTTTTTTTTTACACTCATAAAATGACTGTAAAACCACAAATATTTGGAAGAGTCCTTTGGGACCAATACAGAATGTGACCTTTTTAAAAAAAACAAACTAATTGGATTTCAGGTTGAAATTAATATTTTACCTGAAAATTGATCCAAGAATAGGAATACAAATCCAGCTCAGGGATTTAACAGTGTGAAGTTTTATACAACTTGAGTTTGTGTAAAACAGTGAGCATATTAAAGGAAGTTAGACAAAACACATGCACGATGTGTGGAATGTTTAAGGTGCCCATCAAAAAAAAAATCATCTTTAACAATGGTTAGGGGGGAAAAGGGGCATCAGTAGCTATTTAGCCTGCAAGTCAGGATACAGCTTCTGAATCAGATCTTTCTAGACCTTAAATGCTGAAGGCTGCAAGTGAGAGAGGAACAGTGGAAAAAACTCTGGTCATACTGAGTTCACTCTTCCTTTCAGCATCCACACTCTGTTACTGTGACACAGGATACTGGGTAAAATGAACCTACAGTCTGATACAGTAAGTGGAAATTCTTGTTCTTAGGCCACTTTGCACCCCCCAGCTTACAATATGACTCATAGCAGTAGGTTGCTGTAAAGTATTTGGAAAAGCAATGGACTTATGTGTTTATGGAGTGTCTAGCTCAGTGGATCCTTGATTTCTTATTGTGGCCTATAAATGTTACCAAAAACAAATGCACAATATAACTATTCTTCCTTAGGGATTTATAAAGTTTTATTTCTGAAAAGGCTTACTAAAAAAACTACAATATTAAAAAAAACCCCAAGTTGGATTGGGGAGTGGCTTCTTGACTCACTGTGAATGTTCCAATTCTGTCCAAACCTTATTTTGCTTTGGCCTTGCAGAATATATTTGCAAATTCCCAGACCAACTCTAAGCTCACCCTATTACACATATCAGAAGAATGGTTGAAAACAAGAAGGCTGTCATGTCATACAAGCCAATTCTAGAACTGCTTTGGAGTAGCTAGTTTACTGAAGATCAATTACCTTGATTGCCAGAAACTAGTTATTTGCAAATAGCAGAAAAAGAAAGCAAAAATATATCAAAAGAAATGTTACCTTCCCGTAGACGTTCAACCACAAAGGTGAACCCAGTAGTTCGCGGATGCAAGACATATTCATATTTTCGAAGTCCATTCTTTTCAGCAAATTCATGACTGCGGGCTTTGGTATTGGCTAAAGGTAAAAAAACCATTAAAATAATTAATATTAGTTGCAGAGAGGGAAGGGAAGAAGGCTTAAAGCTTCAGTATGGTGTAAAATCAGGCAAAACAGCAGCAGTACACGTACAGATGAACAGCAGTTGTTTTCTGATGGAAGCAAAATTAAATGTGCTTTCAATTAGGCTCATAAGTTAGGGAAAAAAACGAGTTGCTAAAACAATTGTTAATTCTCTTACTGTATGAAATTATCTTTAAACATAACTAACAGGTCCTTTGCATTGATCAAATGCAAAGTCAAAGCTCTCTTTTAAGAGAGACTATAGTAAAATGGACATTGTAATATATAAATTCTATTAGCATTAAAAACACTGCCACTAAAAGGTCACAATTTATAATAATGGTAACTTTTGATACGGATTGAATTAACTTAGTCAAAAGTGTTAACTTGTGTTAAATTGTTACAAGTACCTTCTCTCTATCCAAAGAGAAAAAATTAATGCTTCTTAAATATAGACAAGCAGCAATGAGTCAAATACACTAAAACAATATTTTTGTCATCTCATATATTCACTTTGAACTTGATAGGTTTCATTTATTCATCTGTTGATTCATAAATTCGAGTTGCATATCTATATATGCTCATTAATTTTTCAGCCTAATGCTCTCTACAGCAAGATGGGCTTGCCTCTGTATGTAAGCTATGCACAAGCCATCTGAAAACAGTTTGGCTGAACACGTAGTAAAGTATGTTTTTCAATGGTCTGGCAGAAAGAGTCCCCTGATGAGGAAATGGCACGAGTCTTAAGAACTAATTACCAACACAGCCAATTCAGCAAACAGCAAAAGAAACGCGAACACACACACACTGAAGAGAAAGCCTCTGGAGACGAGTGGGCAGAAACCAATTTGTTTTACAGGTGGTGTAGGAGAATTCTCTGAACTATCAGTATTGAAGTTAATACACTCAAATGGCTTTGCCTACTACATTTGTGTCCCCGGATGTTGCTACCACCGCATCTTCCGAGGTAGAAGGCCTAAAGGGCACACAGGATCTTCCTGAGACAACCTGAGCAAAATGCATTTAATCAAGTCCATGTATTAAACATCACTATATGTTTTATAGTCCTTCCATTATTATTTTTCAAAGTCAGCATTCCTGCAAAAAAGCTGCAGAAAAAGATCTTTGCCTCATCAATACAAAATCTAACACCTGTACACAGAAGAGCTCTTATTAGAACCGATCAAATCTAACAGAAAATGAGGATGAGGCTGTCCATGGAAGACATGTTGCTGCATAGTAAGGTAGCAAAATAAATCAAGCACAAGTTATTACATTTTTCTTATAACTGGGTTAAGGTCTTTGTCACCCTAATTCATTTGCCACTGAAGCAGCCAAGAAGATTAATGCAACATTGGGCAAGTAAGTTTACACATCTTTCTTTACATTCTAAAACACAAGCTTTCTTTATTGGTAGGTGGGATACTTTACATGAAGAATAGCATGTTTGTTAGTAAGTATGCTACCTAAAAATCAATGTGCCAAATAATTTTTGTTGCAACAATAAGACTGTCTTTCATGCATATTGCCCTTACTTTTTTTTACAATGGAGAAAGAGCTTATTGACCATCTAATCTGGATAAAAGTCTAACTACTGCACAGTAACCACTAAGACTGTGGAGTAGTTCCAGAAGACGAGTAAATGATCCAACAGAAAAAAATTAAATGTACATTTTTCTTCTAAACTTCAGAACCAAACCACACCACTTCAAACAAACTTTATAGTTCTAAGAAAAACAGAAAAGCTTCCAAATTGAGGGTGTGTGTCCTTATGGACATTAAAATATTAAATATTCCATTTAGGACACTCATTCACACTGACTATCCAATCCATTAAGAGAATTACTTTTAAAATGTCAAAATTGGTCTATACTCAACTACAAACAGAGATCTACACCATAGATTCTTAAGCTGGGTTCCAAGCTAAAGGAGAAATGGGGAGGGGGGCCAGGAATGAACACGTACTAGGAGGTACAACTATTGTACCCTTCCCATTTTACTGAATGAAAGGAGTGATTCTAACCAGATATGTAGGGGTACCCAAGAGCCTTCCTGGCCTAGAAAAGATTAGAAACTTAGTTTGGTACACTAGAATGCTTACAAAAGACAGCTGCAATTAAACATAGAACATGTTGCCTGAGGAAAGGGTTTTAGGTGATATTTGGTTATTTGAATTCATGATGCTTTGAGGACTGAAAAAGGAAAAGCTAGTAAGAGGGTGAGAAGACCATATTTGAACATATTTTTATTGGCTAGGGACAGAAGTTACACATAACCCTGTTTAAGTAATCAAAAACTGGTTTAAACCTGTAACAGAACAGAAGTTCAGTGCATATAAATTGGTTTCAAAATGGCTGAAACTGGTTTAAGATAAACCTGGTATCAGACTTAACTGATTTGGGTCAAACCAGTTTATGAAACTTCTGTCCCAGATCCCTTTCTGGTTCAAGTTAAATCACAGTCCCCCAGCATCCTAGCATGCTTTGCAGCCCTGCTCTGGGCTGTGCTGTCTGGTCCAGCAGAGAAGGGTTGTGGGGCAGGGGAAAGGGAAGAGGAAAACCTACCCCGTCTGGCAAAGCTCGGCTAGGGTCTGGGGCCTGGGTGGGGGGTTAAGCCCCCCTTCCCCAAGTACAGAGCTGCCCTGCCCTGCCCTGCTAAACTTACTGCTGGCTACAACTGTGAACTACAAATCCCAGAGGCACCTGGAAGCAGGAAGAGGAAGTGATGAGTCCTGCCACATTCATTTACCTGAATGGCCTATATTCTATATTAATGGCCAACCTGTGGTGCATGTGCCACAAGTGGCATAGATAGCCTGTGTGCATGGCATAGAACAGATCAGGGACGGCAGCACAGCACTAGACATGGCAGGAAACAGAAAACAGAGTGGATAGGACAGGGAGCAGAAAGAGCAGCAGATCAGGCAGGAAAGAGAGATCAGAGTGGCACTTAAGAAGTACTGAGATTAATTTGTGGTATGCCTGGCAAAATGGTTGGCCCTCACCACTCTAGGCTAACTCAGAGTACATGTACACATTACACTTAGATTCACCTAAGTATGGCTACTGTACTAAGTACCTATCTGTACATACATCTGGGGAGGTTAGATTGGGAAAAAAAATGGCTGGCCTGATCCACTGAATGTCTGCACACATCGGAGCACAGCCTCAGGGCTAGCAAAGTCTAGTCACTCCAGTCTTAGGGCTATACTTTTCTTACTTCCCTTTTCCTCCAGCCCTGCACTGGGCTATTTTTAGAACACTCAGCCACCTCATTCCCTGACAGACAAGCCCTCTCCTCACCCCCCAAGCCAACCTAAAGTAAGCTTCATGATCAAAGATCAGGTCCTGGGAACTGCTACATGTGCCTTCAGGGTTGTGCAGGGAAGAGTTACCAGGGAAGAGTTGCCACCTCACTTGTATCAATAGTTGGAAGATGCATGGAGAATGAAGCTGGGAGCTGCAAAAAAAGAAAGGATGAACTCATGGCTAGGGCAAACTGGATTCTGCCTCTACTGAAAAGTACCTCTGTGATGCACAGCCAATCATTTAAACCGAATTTTCACAAGCTGTCCTTGTTGATATGTTCCTTGCTACCTGTTTGAGACTCCCCCTTGCTCCCCTGCTCTGATCATGCCCCTCACTCCCCCCACAGCCCACCCCTTGCTTATGCCCTCACTTCCTCTACAACAGTCCCTAGCCCTGCTTGTGCTCCTTACTCCCCCCAGCCCCCCAACCGTGTTGGTGCCCCTTGCCCCCCACCTATAGCCCCTGCACCCCAGCCCTGCTGGAGGGGGCTTCCAGCTGCCAAGCTATGGGGCCAGGGACCCATGTTCACAGCTCCATGCCCCCAAGAGAGGGCAGCAGCAGCTACTGCAGCAGAAGGAGCATGGAGTCAGCTCCCCCCCTGCTGTGGGCAAAGACAGGAGTGGGGCAGGCTCCCAGCCCAACCCCTCAGCCCTGCTGGTGTCCCCTATCCATGACCCACAACTCCCCAGCCCTGCCAGAGGGGGACCCCAGGCCCCTGCAAGCCCCACTTACCTCACAGGCTCCGAGAAGAATAGAGCCTGAGCCAGGCCTTGGCTGAGACAGCCTCCGGCCCTGCCCTTTCCAGTCTCCCTCCTGGCAGGGTTGGGGGTTTCCCACCCCTTTTGCAATCAGCTCTTGTAGGCTGGAACTCTGTATGCCTGCAGAGCTCTTTGTAGAAGTGGGAAATCTGCGGGTATCTCTGCTAAAAGGGAAAATCCATTTTTTCTCTGATAAAATCAGGAAATGTGTGGTTTTCAATGTTTTTCCATGAGAAACAGAAAACCTGGATCCCTTGATCATAACTTTCCTGTGCCTCATGTCCTTAGTTGTTAAATGGAGATATGCCATTGTCTCATCTTAATATGTTTTGTGCAGATACATTCATTAATTGTAGTGAAGCACTAAGGTACTATATAATGACAAGTGCTACAGAAAAGCCAAGGAAGAAGTAAGAAATTCCACCTTTCTTCAGGCTTGATAATTAGGAATGTAATAGCTGGGACTCATATCAGCTACTTGTTAAGTTTTCAAATAAGCACTCTCTGCTTTATCCCATGCTGTCTCTTTTGCTCAGCAATTCTGCTCTGTAAATACCTGCACTGGTTTCCTTCCAAACTTGCTTATAGAAATACCTCTCCAAAATACCCTGATAACAGTTGGGCTGCTAGTGGGCTGGGGCCACTATCTGTCATACTATCCACCAAATACTGGATATGGACACACCCAACACCTAAATCATTTTAAATGCAGTTTAAACCTGAAGTGAACAGACATGCGAGCCTATTTAATAGGTTTAAAGCTGCCATGAACAACTCTGAGGCAAACCTGGAAAATCAGGTATCCTTTGAACTGGTTCAGTGTTGCACGCAAGTGTCAAGTGCTCAACAACACAAGTCTCCAGGCATCCCATACTGCTCCCTCCTTCCCTCCACTGCTGCAATTGGCTGTTCTCATATGCAGCCAGAACTCTACTGCCCCTTACCTGCCTTTTTCCCCCCCTTTTGTTGCTGCATTTTATCAACAAGCTCCCTTGCACTGCTTGTTCAATAGAAGCTATCTAACAACCAACTACATCCTCACTCCCTGCTTCATCTCAACCCCCCCTACCCCATACCATGCCTCCTTGCCAGCTCCTGGAAACCCAAAAATATGGCACTCCTGGGTCCCGCTTTGCCAAGTCAGGCAAGCACACTGCCAATTTTGGTCAGCTGTGGTCTACTGAAGTTTACTGAACTCATGTTTAGGAGAGAAAAGAAAGCAGAAAATTGAAAACATTCCAGCCACAGGTCACCCACCTCATGGGGCCTCCACAGTATGGATGCAAGCACCCCCACTTTCCCTTATTCACTGCAAGGCAAGCTGGGCTAGGTGCTAATTCTCTTGCCCTGGTGTCAGAATCACCTACGGTTACATCATTTCCTTGCACCCAGGCTATCTTTTGGAATCCAGCATTGTTTATCAAGAAATCAACTGAATGTTATACAACTGAGACCACCACAAAGCTGAAATTGGAGCAGGTTTGCTCTTTCATATTTTTCATACGAGTGTTCTTAGCTGAAAGATAGAAAAATGCTATTATCAGATACACTACTGAGGGAAAAAAAAAATCAGAATTCTGCTTACTGACATGCATATAATTGAATCAGTCATGGGCGGAAGGGGCAATAAAAAACACACCTGAATATTTTATCCTGAATACTTTGTAGCAAAACAGAGCATAGAGGCATTTAACCCAAAACAATATCAGAAAAATTGTCAAAATGTTGTAGAAAGAGAAAAGCTGGCTTTTCAACAACTATCACTGGAACTACATTAACAACAACCTGAATCCCATCAAACATTTCAGACTTGGATTTTATAATGCTTATGATATTGATTTTATAATGCTTATAGTAATGAGGGTGACAAAAATGATCATTTTAACATTTCTAAAATGAGACATGCAATTTTCATAAGCTAGAGGAATGTTTTCAGAGTATAAAAGAAGCTTGTATATATGTCTCTTCCAGTGTTAGCTATTTTTTTTGATTGCAAGAAACTCAGTACCTCTTATTGGTATTCAACCAACCTCTCAGTTTCATTCCAAACACAATTTTAAGTGTTAACAAGAAAAACCGTAAACAAAATTGTTTGTAACTACTTCTGATAGTATACATTAAAGGAAAAATATGCACTTGGTAACTATGGATCATTCAGTAGCAGAATAATTTAATTTTGAATTGTGCCTGCATCATGAAGAAAGTGCCAACTGTCTAGTATTCTAGTGAATTGAGACTGTCAAATATTTATATGTAAGGAATAACATTAACATATAAATGTATGTAATGCCTGTTCTCATATTTGTAAATGGGAAATACAATCATATTGCTGATGGGTAAAATTTTGAAAAGCTGCTTAAGTGACTTATGTTTCCAAGGGTGTGCCTACCACAGTAAAATGGAGGTGCATTATGGCATGTACCACCATACCTTTCCTTGTTTAATCTAGATAGGATGGGTAACAGTGACATGCTAACATACACTAGCCCCTAACATGTACCTAGGAGGCCCTGGAGTTTGTACTCTGGTTGATAGCTTATGGCAAAGCCAGTGCACTCTTCCTATGGCTAGTCAGGTTAGCTAGCCTGTGCTAGCACAGGTATGTTAGCATGTGTTGTATGCTCAAAAAAGTTTTTTTTTTTTGTAGACAAACTCAAAAGTCACTTTTAAACACACTGCTTCAAAAACTTCAAAGCATCAGAATAATAGTCTTTCCCTGGCTTTCAGTGAGTTCCTCTTCCATGCATCTTTGGGAGAGGAGGACAGATTAGGAATGAATATAGGTTAAAAATAGTTCCAATATTGTTATTTAAAAAAACAAACAAACATTTGGATATCACTTCAGAGCTTCAGCAGGAAGTGGACAAATCTGAAAAAATTGCAACTATTTAGGCACTGCTATTTAGGTACCTTCCCACACCATCTTCCAGTCTTCAGTATCACCACTAAAAATCTTCTGTGGAATTCACAATATGAAAGTCAAATGAAGACCCTTCATTTTAAGTAAAATTAAAGGGAAAATACCACATCGCTATTTTCTTAAGGGTTAACGTTTAATTGTATGATCACACATAGGCATCTCTTTCCATCCTCCCACTTGCAACCTGTGCAATAACCTGGTCATCTTGGCTGCTTGCAGATGTTAAACAAAACAAAACAAAACACAAAACACATTTTAATGGAAGCTCTGCAACATCTGTATAGATTGGGCACTTCAGTGGGGCTTTCTGGTGTTTTTAGCTAAAGCTGATTTAATCAACTATTAGATAAAAACACCAAAAAAGCCCTACTAAAGCACCTGATCTCTACAGACACTGAAGAACCAGGTCCAACTAACATGCTGCTTTTTCTGGCCATGCACCAGACTCGGAACAGGAATACATTGAGTTTAAAGTGCCGCTTTTTAAAAAAAAACATTTGGAAGCAGCCCTTAACTCCTACTGCCTTTGTCTCATCTCTCTTTCTCCTTTGTCTGCTTTGGTACCTTCCATAGTAAATGGGCAAGTCTACACATGCAATTAATGCAATCAAATATACTCTGGTTCAATTTGAGCCAGAGTAAACTAATCCTGACATCACCGTCTACACGTATGTTTAAGTGCAGTAATTTACTGCACTGCCAAATACTGCTTGTATCAGACAGGACTATCCCGCAGTGCAGTAAATTAATCTATTACTCCCTAATGGCCGCACACGTGTAGATGGTGACACTTTACTGAGCAGCAAATTAGTCTACTATGCAGTAAAACGTCTTGTGTAAATATGCCCCGTAGGTGGTAAATTTGGAGCAAGCATAATATCTCATCTATATTGACAGATAAGAGCATATTTTGGGGTGCTAATAAAGCAATAATCAAAATTTATAAATTGTGTCCTTTAATTGCTTAGAGACTTTATATCAAGACACAAACTGATTTCAAGTAAAAGACTGCAAAAAAAAAAAATGTTCCTCAAATAAATCATAGTACGTACTCATAATTGGGATGCAGAATTTGGAAATGGATGCAGAATTTGGTACCTTTCAATAATTTGTATTTCACAGAAATGAAAAAAAATGGTCAGAGGAATATGCAAGACAACTGATACCCAAAGCAGTGAAATGAAGTTCAAACAGCTTATCATGTACAGATGAAAAGGGAAACACAAAGAAATATTCAAATCACTTTGCTTTACTAAGGTGCAGGCAAAAAAGCATCTGAGATAAGACAGATCACCAAGTAGAGACTTAACAATACACCCTGTCACAAAGGGGGAGATTGCTAAGGCTTTATCTATATATATGAACTGCAATGGTTTAACTAAAATCTGCAATTCCTGTGCATAGGCAAAGCCTAAAACCAAGAGTGTGAGAGACTCTCAAGCTGTCTGATTAAAAGGATCAGAGTGGATACCACTTTCTAGAAATAAAAGATATTTTATTTTTTTCATTATAACTAATCCAAAGTGAACCTACTCTGTTGAATTTTGGAAAGTACTTAGATGAAGTACATTTTTCCTATCAGTCAACTTTGTCTTATTAAAAATATGTATTTTAGGTAATGTCCAACAAAATTGCCTAAGAGGAGCAAAACTGTCAAACTGAAAATGTGGAGAAAGTAAGTGTGTGTAGGAAAAATTTTCTACCTCAGAAACTTCAGTCAAAATGGCCTGAGCAGTCTCCTTTATCAATGGTGTGCTCTGAGTAGTGGTCAAACACAGGCATTATAGTTTAGATAATTTAATACGTGAAACTTAAGTAAGATAATAAAGACTTATGAGAAATAAGAAAAACAATCTTTTTTATGAAAAAAAACCATGCTGTACAGTTTCAAAGGTAAAGAAAAACTGGGACTCAACAAACGTCTGGTAAACATTTCAAATGTTAAAATATACAGTGTAACTGAGGTTGCCTGTTACCCATCACCTATCAAACAGCTAGAATGGTTCCCATTCTTTCAGACTTTATTCACAAATAAAACAGACTAAACATTCAATGGAATTTTAATGATCTCCATTCCAAGCTAAGACATAGCAATGTCTATCTGTGAGGTTCAATTTAACTCTCATGAAGAGCTGAAGTCAAAGAATTGGCAAAAATTTCCAAAGACAGAACACTGAAAATGTAAACCCAGTATTTGTTTCCAGGTGTAAACTCTGGAACGTAAACTTAAGCCATGACTTGTATCAAAATAGCTTAATTCACATAATTATAAATCATCATGTTCATGTTGCAGCATATACTTACAAGATTCTAGGCCAAGCCTGTGATTTAAGTTAATAAATGTTTGTGAAAATAATGAAACGTGATGTAGAAAATGCTTTACCTGACTCAGAAGTTAAATGCATTGTTATTTCAGGTTTTTGACAGAGAATTGTACAGAAAGATGCACTTAAGTTATGCACTTCATACAGATAGTTTCATTGTCATGTAGAAACAAACACCACTGTTATTTGAGGCTGCTGTCACTGGTCAGACTATTTTGATTTTTTGATGTCTTTTAGTACACAGTGATATTTTTATTACACCATTTTTCAAAGAATATATTGAGCTAGAATGAGACTGAAGTCCACAAAAATACACATCACCTATGTTGTCTACGTATACATAGGTGGGGGAGTGTCTATAGTCAAAACCCCTTGTCCATATCACTTAAATAATACCCAAGTAGCCACTACGCAAATGGTAAACTGAGAATCTTCCTTGACTAAAACGGTGCACATCATCCCATTACTTTTCTTACTCTTCTGTTCTTGCTCTGATCCACTTTTTGTCTCATTATTGCGTCTTTTGATTTAGACTGTCAATACTCTCACTTTCTATCTGCTTGTACAGTGCCTACCACGAGACCCAGCTTGAATGAGGCTGTGAGGGTCTACTACTATATATTTTGAACACAGTAGAACCAGGATTTGGGGTCACAATCCAAGCCTTGTTTCCAGTCCTGCCACTGTGGCAATTCATTTATCCAACGTATATGCACACTGGCACATGTAAATTATTCCTGTAAGGGGGGAATAGTTTCCAGCTGCCTCAAAACGTTATTTGGAGACTTTATCCTTAGTAAGGCTTTGAAGTCCTTGGACAGACACTTAGACGAGCGCGGCCAGATGGTATGTGGTGCCACAGACACTTCCATGGTGCCACATACTGCACATTCAGGTGTTCTCTGTGCTGCAAAGTAGCAGCATGGAGAGGCAGGGAGGAGATTTGATCTGAGGGTCAAAAAAACCCGTGGAAAAAAACAGTGGGTTGGCACATGCGGGGACAGCATGCACGCTGCTCAAAACCGGGGCCTGGCTGGAGCGCCACAAATCGAGCTGTCGGCCAGGCTCCAAGTGGCAGAATTGCCACTGCTGTAGCCTCAGGTGGCCCCCAGGTAAGGCTGCTGGGGCCAGTCCAGTGCTGGCCCCAGCCTCCCCTACCTTGTCTGGGGTAATCTGCTGTGTGCCAGAGGGCATATGGCACAGGTGTTCCTGGGGACAACCAGTAGCCACACAAAGTGTGCCACTGCTTCTTGCACCCGTGGAAACAAACGTCCAGGCTCATGTGGACGTGGCCTTAAAGTTCATAGCTGTGCTACAAAATTCATGTACTTCATTGATTTTGGGTTTTTTTGCATCATACTGAACATTCTTCAAAAGACTATGACAAGAAATTCATGAATTTCTTAGATGGCTAGCTGAAGAACCTCACAGTAAAAACTAAGGGCTCAGTATTGGTATTACAGGCTTTTGGCACGTTAAGCTGCTTTTTACCATTGAAACCCGAGAGGATAGAAATGAGCTAACTCATAGCAGTTCAGCATACTGGTACTTTCCCCTAATGGCTGCATTTTATAATTTATAATCTACTTAAAAAAAACCTCCATCATATTTTATTGCAGAAAAAGCCTTCAAAACATGAACTCAGTGTAACAAATGGAATATTATCTGCATGAGTCTGCAGACTACCTGAAAATATAAATTCCAGGGCTCCTATCCAGCAAAACACTTAAGTGTGTGTTTCAACTTTAAGCTCTTGAGTAGCCCCATTCAAGTCAACAGAACTACTTGTATACTTAACATTATATACAAGGTTAGATGCTTTGCTGGATTGGAAACTTTAAGAGCTACCATCCTCCCCATTCAAGTCAGTAGGTATGTCTACATGTTCATTAATGTGCAGTAACCAGAGTTACTGCACAGCACCACTGGTGAACACCTTTTTAGTGACACTACTGCTCAGTAGCCTAATAATACTGAGCGGTAGCGTATTTGCACTGTCCGTGCTGTGACACGCAACTGCACAGAGTTATTAGGCTCCTGTGCAGTTAGCATCTCGTGTAGATGCCACCCAGTGAGGTGTTAATTCTTAAGTGAAATCCTGACAATTTAAATGCAAATTTGCTGCTCATAAAGTAAAAAAGGCAATCATCGTATGATCTAAACAACCTATTCCAAGTAGCATTTCAGTTAGGTATGGTCAGTGAACTGAATTTAGAACAGTACCACCAACTTTGCTACCTGTCTAACCAAGGTTCCCTCTAAGCTGCACACGTGTACAGCCACACACAAGAAAAAAAATCATGCCTGCAGTAACTTTTTAATGCCGCGCACCCACCCCAACCTAGCCACAGGCTGCTGCAGGAGAGGAAGTGAGGAGGGGAGGGCAAATTGAGATACCTGTGCAATCCCAGCCAGTATCGGAGCCACAGGCAGGTAAGTTTCACTGGGCTTGGAGGGAGGATGGGGGTGGGGTGCAGACTGAAACCCCCACAGTGCAGGAGGAAGTGTGGTAGGGGCAGGGTGCTGCCCCGCTCCCTCCTGGACTATTGGGATTGTCCCACAATCCAGCCCGGCCAGGGGCCCATTCACCGTGAGTCAGAGCCTGGTGGTTCATCCAAGGTTGTGGGTTCCTGCTGCTGTGCACACTGGGGGGGGGGGGGGGGG